AAATAATTAGTGGTAAGACCTTGTGAGTGACTTACGATGTTTCCATCACCACTCTTGACACACTAAACCACAATATTTAAGAGGTAAGAATTTTATACTTGGTGATTTAGATGACCCCCTAACTTTGGGCAGATTTTTTTAATGTTCAAATTCCATCTTATAAGCCGAGATATACGGTAGTTTGTCTGTTGATAACTCAGTCAACACAATGCAAGAGAAATAATATTTAGTATATATATCATTATTAAATTATTAGAATAAACCAAGGTACTTGATTTTTCAAGTGATATGATAATGCAAATATGAAACCCTTGCCTGAAATGGGGTTCGTGTGCGAGGGGTTGCTGCTCCATCACCCGGGCGCAACAGTTTGGGATCAAAATAGCGATACTCTTTCTCTTCTTCACAGTTTTTCAGTTCCATCAAATGATCCACAATTCTTGTGATAGGAAGTTTCTGTGATAAATTAACAACAGAGCAACAAACATGAATAGTTCTGGTTATGGTAAATTGGAATTAAGATTACATTAAGCACATCCAAAATCAATAAAAACCCTACAAGGTGCACATACAAATTTTCTTCTGAAATAGTTTCAGCTGACCTGCTACTTGCTTTTATAATGTAACTCTTCAAACCATCAACTGGCTTTAAAATTGTCCACATTATACATGTTCAATAGTCAATTCTCAAATGCAATCATTTCTATTTCACCTATCTGGTAACACTTACATTTATTACACCTATCTGCTAACACTTACATTTATTTCACCAATCTGGTAACACTTACATTTTCCTTTAGTACAAAGTTGACACCTTCAACAACCAAAGCAGATCCCTGGTTCATCAGCTTGGAAAACATGGACACTGTTTTGGCCACTCCACCTGTGTACTCTGACATGCCAGCACCTGCAGTCATCTGTGCGTGAGTGAGTCAAAATAAATAAATCAATCAATAAATGATTCCCAGAGAAGTAATTTTCCAAAAATTTACGGCTTTAGGAAAAAAAATTCCGAGGTGGAAAATCGAGAGCATTTTCTGAAAATGTATTGAATAAAGACGAAAGTTAAAGTATTTTGGGGGACCTGACATGACTCAATGTCAGGTGGAGGTAGGGTGGGGGATTAGTGGTCTCTTATTACTGACCTTTGGATGGAATGTCAGGTCACCCTTTCTTAGGTGAGGGATTAGTGGGTCTCATGACCTTAAGATGTTTTAAATAAACATAAATGAGTCAAGTTGTACCCCTTCAATATTACGTTACATAACATTTTAAAATATGAAGTGAGAAAGCGGAATGTTACGGAGTATTTCAAAAAAATTCTTTGACAAGTACCCTTCACATACAGTAAAATACTTAGTTACCTTGTCATTTAAGGATATCATTTTGGAAATGTCTCATAGAGGATCATTATGGTATCAAATTCATCTCTTTAACACAAATAAAGATTATAAGAATGCTGTGAGGTAGGGAGAGGAGAAGAGGTCCATTAAGCGTGACTGTGCATACCCTCCCTCAAAAGGTCACCTCACTGTTTGTCAACTGTACTGCCTCATTCATGATACAATATTGTTTATTTGTTTTTCATTAATTAGTAAAGGTACATTACTGTAATAATCTGTGCTTATTAATACCTGTACCCTTCATATACTGTACAATACAGTGTACAGTACTGTACTATGTATATACCTCATAGGCAAAAAAGAATGTAATTCAAGACATCTTCAGGTCATAAGACCCACTAATCTTCCACCCAACAATGGGTGACTTGACATTGCATCAGGTCAGGTTAGTAACATGGCCCAATAAAATCCCACCCAACCTCCATCACAAGTGTTAAGATGTGATTGCAGTTATGTATTACAGTCAGCTGAGTGAAGTATCTGCCTACTCTAGGCTAAAGATGACAGGATCTGCTGGTGAGTACAATATATGCAGTAGTATACATTACAGTCTCACCTCGACTTACGACGGGGGTTCCGTCCCGACGACCAGGTCGAAATAATACCTAGAAATTCTAAAATGGATGTCTCTTTTTCTTCTCGCCACCACGAGAACTCTCACTTTTATGCTTGCCAGCCATTATAAAGGGAATTACAAACGAAAATTTTGTCAGTTCACAGTGGGATCACTAACTTCGGGACTCGAAGGTACGTAATGTGAAAAAGTATTTTATACGACCATGACCGTCGTATGTCAAGGTTGTCGAAAGTCGAATATGTTGTAAGTCGAGGAGAGACTGTTTTATGTTCACAATATAAACAATATTGTATGTGTACAGTGGTGTTTGCATAAATAACTGCAGCTTCTATGAGCTGCATTGTTTACTCTTGGAAAAATACTACTACACTGTCTTTGCTGTAACACAGCTCTATTCATGCTCGTATCATATAGAGCTTTTGTTTTTTAAAATATATTTATCTAACCAAACTTTTAGGTAAAGTATTCAGGATTATTGTGATAAAAAAATGGTTGTCTAACAAAATTAGAAATGACTTTATTGACTGGTATAAAAATTTCTTATGTTTTTTATGAAAGAATGGAATTCCCATCATTATATCATATCAAATTATTTCATTTAAAGGATATATTATTGGAAACGTAGAGAATTTATTAAGGATCATTATGGTGTCAAATTCATCTCCCTATCACAATTAGCTACTCTTAAGTGGGGGGGGGAGGGGGACTGACTGCATCACCCAACCCCTTCAACCCCCCAAAAAGGTTAGACTCCCTCACTCTCATTACCCACACTGCTACACACAGCAACACCACCCAAATATCACACACATACACCCCTACATCACACACATTCCAACACCACCCTCACCCCACGTCACTCTCCAACACCACCCTCACCCCAAGTCACCCTCCAACACCACCCTCACCCCACGTCACCCTCCAACACCACCCTCACCCCGTCACCCTCCAACACCACCCTCACCCCGTCTTCCCTCCTTTCACCCTCACCCCACGTCTGCCCTCCAACACCACCCCTCACCCCCACGTCACCCTCCAGCACACACCTCCACCCCCGTCACCCTCCAACACCACCCTCACCCCCGTCACCCTCCAACACCACCCCTCACCCCCACGTCTGCCCTCAACACCACCCTCACCCCACGTCACCTCAACTACCCTCACCCCGTCACCCTCCAACACCACCCTCACCCACCGTCACCTCAACACCACCCTCACTACGTCACCCTCCAACACCACCCTCACCCCACGTCACCCTCCAACACCACCCTCACCCCACGTCACCCTCCAACACCACCCTCACCCCACGTCACCCTCCAACACCACCCTCACCCCACGTTACCCACACCATTGCCACACACACACACACACACTCCA